AGGAGAAGGAGGAGGAGGAGGAGAAGAAGAATACGTGTGTGCATGAATGCTGGGTGAACGGGAAGGATGGAGAGGGGGGAGGAGGAGGAGGAGGAGGAGGAGGAGGAGGAGGAGGAGGAGGAGGAGCAGCAGCAGCAGCGGCAGCAGCAGCAGGAGCAGGAGCAGGAGGAGGAGGAGGAGGAGGAGGAGGAGGAGGAGGAGGGGGAGGAAGCTGAGAGGGACAGGGAGGGGCTGGGATGGTGCGAGGCAGTGCCATGCAGCAGACTAGCTACAGCTGCTGACCTGGACGGCGGAGTATCATCTGAGGGTGCACGGCTTGTTCAATGTGCTGCGGCGTCGGCATCCAATTCTACCTTCCACACGCCATATCTACCGACGTTTCCTCTGGGATCCAGAGATATTGCCCATAGCACCCTGATGTATCATCTTCCTGTCTGACTGCCAAGCTGACGATGCATCCACCTCAGAGTGACTAGTTCCCAGGCGGTGCACTTAGTGGGACGGCCGCGGGGGAGCCGAGGAACTCAATAATGCAGACCGACGGTTATCCCATACCAGTTTGAAGAGCACTTCGAGATTGGAGCAGGTAACAAAACCCTTGCCCTGCCACCTTTATCGAAGACGCCTACGGCGAATCACCTTCGCCCCCTGCCTTTTGGAAATGCTCATGCGGCCATATGTCGGGCCGATGTCTGGCCAAACTATTTGACGATGTGTTCCCCCAGCCGTTGTGGAACCCGCAGTGCCAGTGCATGTCAACTCAGACTAGCACTTATCCTTCCTCCTCCCTCCCTCCCTCTTTCCCTCCCTCCCTCCCTCCCTCCCTCTCTCCCTCCCTCTTCCTCCACAACCTCCTCCTCCTCCTCCTCCTTCTCCTCCTCCTCCTCCTCCCTCCCTCCTCCCTCCCTCCTCTCCCTCCCTCCCTCTGTCGTGTTCTGGCCTGCGGCCCCCGCCGCCCGCAGGCCTCGCCCGGGACGCCGTTGCTCCCCCGGTCGGCGAGCGGGCTGTCCAAGGAGCCTTCCGCGCCGGGGGCGCTCCTCCTCCTTCTCCTCCTCCTCCTCCTCCTCCTCCTCCTCCTCCTCCTCCTCCTCCTCCTCCTCCTCCTCCTCCTCCTCCTCCTCCTCCCCCCCCCCTCCTCCTCCCCTCCTCCTCCTCCACCGCCTCCTCCCTCCTCCTCCTCCTCCCTCCTCCCTCCTCCTCCTCCTCCTCCTCCTCCTCCTCCTCCTCCTCCTCCTCCTCCTCCTCATCCTCATCCTCCTCCGCCTCCTCCTCGCGCTGGCCCGCGAAGGCGGCCAGGAGCGCCTTCCTTTCCTTCAAAAGGAGGCCCCTCGCTCCTGCAATTGCGATACTGCGCAAATTCAATGCGCAAGTTCGCTTCGCGAATGCACTACGGACAAGCACTACGTTTATGTAGGGCCTGTCCCCCTACAGGGGGAGTTTCGACGAAAGATAAAACATACCCCAAAGATAGTCAAAAGATAGTCCAAAAATAGTCTGGGGGCTATTTTTTGCATATTGTTTGACCTTCTTGGGGTATGTTTGGGGTATTTTTTATTATTCGTCGACAATCTCCCTGTAGGGGGACAGGCCCAACCTAACACTACGTAAATCGCACGGGAGTGACACATACACTACGTGAATGCACTACGTACGCGCGCTACGTCAGCGTACTTCGTGAGCGCACGACGTGCCAACAACACTATGTAAGTACACTACGCTCCTGGGATCCTCCGAGAAGGCTCCTGGGCTCCTGGGAGCCTCTTAGGGTGTTCCTGGGATGCTCCTGGGATGCTCCAGGGGTGCTCCCTGGATGCTCCTGGGATGTTCTGGGGGTGATCCTCGGATGCTCCTGGAGTGCTCCGAGGATGCTCCTGGGATGCTCGTAGGATGCTCCTGCGGCGCTCCTGCGAATGCGTCGCACGAGGATGTTGCGCAAAAGCACTACGTACATGAACTATGCTCCTGGGATGCTGCTGGGGTTCTCACGGGATGCTGCTGGGAAGCTCTCTGGGTGTTCTTGCGAATGCGCTACATATGGGCGCTGCGACTACGTGAATACACCACGTGAACACAAGACGTACATGCATCACGTAAGCCATTACGTAATACACAACGAAAGCAACTAGTTCGCAGTCCTACCACATACAACGAACTACGTACATAAGCAGTACGTGACACCACTACGTCAAAGCACTACGTGAAACTACTACGTAAGAGAAGCACGACGTGCAATACACTCGACGCAAACACTACGTTAGGTAACGCTTCACGTGCATTTTCTACGTCGTGCAAGCACGCAGTTCTTCCACGCTTTGTCTATTTCAACATTATTCCGTGTTCCGTTTAGTCACGCGGCTGTATGTATCTTGGCGCGTGCGCGGGCGTGTGCGTGTGACCATGTGGCTGCCGACACGCCGAACGCTACCGCCGCCTCCCCAGAATTCGTCTGGGTTCTCACTCCGCCTCTCCTCGACCGCAAAAGGGTCATGGCTCATTGCGAACCTTCTTTTGTGTTTTTGTTTATGTGTGCTTCCAAGGATACGGTGTGGTGCTATATTCGTCGCGATCATTTTTCTGTGCTGTGGATCGTCGCGCCCGTTGACGAAGCGGCGCTGCTCTCAGACACTTTCTCCCCCGCCTGCGGGGGGGGAGACAAAGAGAGAGAGAGAGAGAGCGACCCGACTGGTCAGTTCACGCGTATATCCAACATGGCAAGTCCTACCATTCGTGGCCACCGACGTCGCTGAATTGTCTGGGAAGGAAGTTGCTCCGTGTCAGTCTTACATCGTGTCTACTCATCGTCTGGCTCCCTACTGCGAGCGCAGCGCTTGTCGCCCATGCAGCCATTCGGCCAAGCCTCCTTCGTCCCTTCCCCTTCCTCCGTCCCGATTCCCTTTCTCTTGCTCCCTTCTTCCGCCCGCACTCTTTTTCTCTCCGGAGCCCCCCCTCTTCCCGCCAGTGCCCTCCACGCTCCAGCCCTTCCCTCCGCCCCCCCCTCCCCATCTTCCTCCTGTTCCCCTGGCTGCTCCTGGCAAGCCCTCTGCGCCACGACCCGGGGCGGAGTCCGATCGTCACATTAGCACCTCTCGGCAAAGCACCTCAGCAGAGGCGGGCTGCGCTGCTCGCAGCCTCCGCTGCTCGCAGCCGCCTTGGCCCCCACGCGCCAGGGCCGCGGGTGGGCCTCTGGGGCCCACCTCCAGGCTCCCCTTCTTGCTCCTGCTGCTGCTGCTGCCTCTCCTCCGCCTCCTCATCCTCTTCCTCCTCCGCCTCTCTCCCCCCTCCCTCCTTCCCCCCCGCCCCCTCCCTTCGCTCCTTCTTCCTCCCTCCCCCCCTCCCTGCCCTCACTCCCTCCCTTCCTCCCCCCCCCCCCCCCCCCCCCCCCCCCCCCCTGGGGCCTCTTCGTCCCCCCTTCCATCCCTCTCCCTCATCCTTTTCGGGCTCCCTCCCCCCCGTCCCTCGTTCCTCTTCCCCCCTGCACTCCTCCTCCCCCTCTCCTCCCTCCCTCCCCCCCCAGGACGGAGCCAGCCGGTCGAACTCCCCCCGCGCGCCTCGCCGCCTAAGCCACAGCCAGCCGCACCCCCGCCCGGCTTGGCGGCAGCTCTCCCCGAGCGCCGCTACGTGGCTCGAGGAGCGAGAGCGAGGGGAGGGAGGAGGAGGAGGAAGGAGCAGGAGGAGTGAGGGGGAGGAGGAGGAGGAGGGAGGAGGAGAGGAGGAGGAGGAGGAGCAGGATCAGCAAGCAGGAGGATGAAGGATGAGTAGGGGGAAGAGGGGAGGAGGGAGCCAGGAGGGGGAGGAGAGGAGGAGGAGGAGGAGGATGTGGAGGAGGAGGAGAGAGGCGAGGAGGGAGCAGGAGGGGGAAGAGGGAGAAGAAGTGAGGAAGGAAGGGAGAAGGGAGAGGGAACCGAGCACGCACAGAGGACAGGAGGAAGGGGTGGGCGGACGGGGAGAGGAGGAGGATGAGAAAGGAAGAGGAGGAGAGGAAGATGGAATGGAGGAGAGCAGAGGGGAGGAAGGGAAGGAGGAGGGAGGAGGAGGAAAGGAGAGGAGTGAGGAGTAGGGGGAGAGGGAGGGAGGAGGGGGGCGAGGTGGTGGAGGAGGAGCAAAGTAGGAGGTAGGAGGAAGAGGGAGGGGGATCAGTGAGGGAGAGGAGGGAGGACATGCGGAGGCGAACGAACCCGTGGAGGACGAGGACCGATTGGTGGGTGAATGATAATGTCATATGAAATAGATGATGATGATGATGGTGATGATGATGATGATGATGATGATGATGATGATGATGATGATGATGATGAGAAGGAGGAGGAGGAGGAGGAGCGACGATGACGATGACGATGACGATGACGATGATGCTGGTGGTGATGATGCTGATGATGATGGCGATGCTGATGGTGCTGCTGCTGCTTCTGATGATGATGATGATGCTGATGTGGATGCAGCTGATGATGATGATGATGATGATGATGATGACACGGTGATGATGATGATGATGATGATGATGATGATGTTGATGCTGATGATGATGATGCTGATGATGCAGATGATGATGATGATGATGATGATGATGATGATGATGCTGATGCTGATGCTGATGCTGCTGATGATGATGATGCCGATTCTGATGCTGAGAATCATATCATTAACATATCGTGATAATGATGATGCTGATGGTTATGACGATGACGATGCTGATGCTGATGATGTTTATGATGCTGATGTTGATGCTGATGACGATGATGCTGCTGATGGTGATGGTGATGCTGCTGATGATGATGCTGATGCTGATGGTGCTGCTGCTGCTTCTGATGATGATGACGACGATTATGATGACGCTGATGTGGATGCAGCTGATGATGATGACGATGCTGATGATGATGACACGGTGATGAGGATGATGATGATGATGATGATGATGATGATGATGATGATGATGATGATGATGCCGATACTGATGCTGAGAATCATAGGATTATCCTATCGTGATAATGATGATGCTGATGGTTATGCCGATGACGATGCTGATGCTGATGATGCTTATGATGCTGATGCTGATGCTGATGCTGATGACGATGATGCTGCTGACGATGATGCTGATGCTGATGATGATGCTGATGCTGATGATGCTGGTGGTGCTGATGATGATGATGCTTATGATGATGATGATGATGATGATGATGATGATGATGATGATGGTGATGATGATGATGATGATGTTGTTGATGATGATGCTGATGGTGTTGGTGGTGTTGCTGATGATGATGATGATGACGATAACGACGATGATGTGAGTCGGCGCTCGTTTGATGCGACCCGGGTTCGCTCACATCAGTTTCGGGAGGGTTCTGAGGAATTTGCTTCTCATTCGATTTCAACCCTCCATCCTTCCACGACCCCCTCCCCCGCGGACACCCAGAAGAATACTAAATTCAAGTTGCGGCCGTGCCCCCAAATTGGGGTCATGTCCCCTGCGCTGCCCGGGACCAGGAACCCACAGGAATCCCATAGAGACCCTTGACGGATTGTTGGAGGGTTCTGATCCAATGAGAGGTTGTCGAGAATGCAAGTGCAAACATAGTTTTTTCTCAACCAGTTGTCGGGTGACCCACCCGCTTGTGTGTCACCTGCGTGGTGCCTGCTCCACGCAGTATGTACATGTACTGAATGGGAATACATCTCCCCACGCTGGGTCCCATAATGCCAGTGCAGCATGTGTTTTTTCTCAGCCAGTCTTCGTGTGACCCGCCCGCCTGTGGGTCGCCTGCGTGGTGCCTGCTTCACGCGGAAACTGTATCGAATGGAATTGCAGCACCATGTGTTGGGGCCTAGAATGCTGGTAACATATTGTAGTGGCCTCCGGTCAGTGCCGCCGATCCGGGGCGCTCCGGATGATGGTGATGATGATGATGTTGATGATGATATTGATGATGATGATGATGATGAAGATGAAGATGAATCTGATTATGAGGATGATGATGATGATGATGATGATGATGATGATGATGATGATGATGATGATGATGATGGTGATGGTGATGGTGATGGTGATGGTGATGGGTGATGATGATGCTGATGATGATGATAATGATGATGGTGGTGATGTGACGATGGTGATGGTGATGGTGATGGAGATGGTGATGATCCCACTCCCCCCCCCAAACACCCCTCCTCTCTCCTGTCCCCCCCTTTCTCCTGTCCCCTCCCCCCACCTCTCTCCTTTCCCCTCCCCCTCCCCCCTCTCTCCTGTCCCCCCCCCCTTCTCTCCTGTCCACCCCCTCGTTTCTTTCTTTCTCCCCCCCCTCTCTCCTGCCCCCCCCCCCCCTCCTCTTCCTGTCCCCCCCCCTCTCTCTTGCCCCACCCCCCTCTCTCCTTTTCCCCCCCCCCCCCCTCCTGTCCCCCCTCCCCCTCTCTCCTTCCCCCCCCCCCCCCCCCCCCTCTCTCTGTCCCTCCCCCCCCTCCTCTCCTGTCCCCCCCCCCTCTCTCCTGTCCCCCCCCCCCCTCTCTCCTTTCCCCTCCCCTCCCTCCCCCCTCTCTCCTGCCCAGGGCGCAGTGCAGGGGGGTGGGGGGGAGCTGGGGGAAAGAGAAGGTGCAGAGGCGGGGGGGGTGCAGGAAGAGAAGGGGGGGGGGGCGGAGAGGAGATTGCAGGGGAAGGGGGGGGGTGCAGGAAGAGAGGGGGTGGGGCGCCGGCAGGAAGGTGCAGGGGGGGGGGGGGGGGGCGGTCCCGGCATTGGGGAAGCCTTGCGTGTCAATTCTTTCGTCGTTTGTGTCCCCCCCCCCTTGCAGAGCGAAGCTTGAGCGAGTTCAAGCCCACGCTCTCTGAAACTCACACGCCGGATCGGCGGATTTTGATTTGCCCAGCCATTTTTTGGGTAATCCACCCGCCTGTGGGTCATCTACGTGGTGCCTGCATCACGCTCGAAATGCATTGAATGGTAATGCAGCGCCTCATGCTGGAGCCCAGGATTCAAGTGCAACAAGTGTTGTCAAGTGTTGTCTCTCAACCAGTTTTCGGGTGACCCGCCCGCCAGTGGGCCACCTGCGCAATGCCTGCCTCATGCGGGGAAATGTTTTGGATGTGGTATCTCGTTTCATGCCGGGGCCCAGAATGCAATTGAAACGATTCTGTTTTTTCTCAGCGAGTTTCGGGTGACCCATCCGCATGTGGGTCACCTGCGTGTTGCCTGCTTCACGTGGGACATGTATTGAATGGAATGCAGAAGCTCATGTTGGGACCACGACTACAAAGGAAACGGCTTGTTTCTCTCAACCAGCGTGGTGCTTGCATTACGCGGGACATGTATTGAATTTACATGCGCCACCACTTCATGTTGGGCTGCAGAATTCAAGCGAAACGACACGATTTTCTCAGCGAGTTTTTGGGTGACCCACCCGCCTGTGGGTCACCTGCGTGGTGCCTATCTCACGCCGGAAATTTAGTAAACGAGAATGCACCACTTCATGCTGGAGCCCAGGATGCAATTTAAAGGATGGGTTTTTGTCCGGCAGTTTTCGGGCGACCCCCCCCTTGTGGGTGTCATCTGCGCAGTGCCTGCTTCCTGCGGGAAGCGTGCTGGATTTGAAGACTTGACGCATCGAGGACTCCATCGTGTGCGGCTCTGGAGGGCCGGGGGCGTGAAGCAGGGCCAGGGAATCAGACGTCAGAGCCTCGATCGCTTATTCGTTAAGGCGTGGCGGACGGAGCCACCGAGCCAAGCAACCAGACGTCGCAGCCTCGGTTATCTGTTTGTTGAGATCTGGGGGAAGCGAGACACAACGCCAGACATCAGATGTCCGAGACCCGATCGCATGTCGGTTCATATTTGGGAAACCCAGATGAGACATCTTAGCCTCGACCGTCTGTTGGTCCAGCTCTAGAGGAGGCGAGACACCAAGCTAGAACATCAGACATGAATGGCTTGATCGCCTGTTGGGCCAGATGTGATGTAATTAGCCGAGACGCCGAGCCAGAACATCAGACATCATGGCTTGGATCGTCTGGTCGTCCAGATTTGCGGGGAGCGAGGCACAGAGCCACAGCATCAGACGTCAGAGGCTGGTTCTCCTGCTGTTCGAAACGGGGGAAGCCGAAACACCGAATCAAGCAATCATTGATCGTCTGCTGCTTCACATATGGGGGGACCGGGACGCCGAACTAGAATATCAGACATCAGGGGTTCGATCGCCTGTTGGCCCAGATTTGGGGAAGCCCAGACACCTCGACATCATAGCTCCGATCGTCTCTTGGTAGCCGGGACACCGAGCGAGAACAACAGCCATCAGAGGCTCGATCGTTTGTGTGCTCAGGTATGGGGCAACCGAGACACCGAGCAAAAGAATCGCGCAACGTGGCCTCGATCGTCCGTTGGCTCAAATCCCAGGAAGCCAAGACACCGAGCCAGAGCAGCGCAGCAGACATCACATGACGGTTCGCTCGCCTGTTTGCTCAGATCTGGGGCAAACGATACGCGCAGCCAACAACACATACACATCACAGTTTCGATCGCCCGTGTGGTCAAGGTGACGGGGAAGCGAAACAGCGAGCGAGAACATCATACAACCGGGTCTCGGCCGCCCGTTGTTCCAGGTATGAAGGCGCCGAGACGCCGAGCCAGCAGATCGGACAGCACGGCCCCGATCGTCCGTGGGTCAGATCTGGGGGAACCGGGACGCCGAGCCAGAAGATCAGACATCAAAGGCTCGATCGCCTCTGGGCTCGAAGCTGGGGAAATCGAGTCACCGAGCCAAAACAGATCAGACAGGACGGCGCCGATGGTCCGTGCGTTCCGATTCGGGGCAGCTGGAAAACACCGATCCAGAAGATGAGGGGGATGAGGAGGTGGAGGAGGAAGAGCAGGAGGAGGAGGAGGGAGCAGGATAATGAGGAGTTACGGAGTTACGGATATTGCGACCGTGTCGGTTACGATTAAGCTTCGCCCGCTCAGAGGATTTCGGAGAGATTGCGAAGCAATACATACATGGGCACCCCACCCCCTGACCACGACGGGGGCCTCGATGACCAGGAATCCCCGCACCAGGACAGAGCCATTCACCATATTGCGCGAGAGGCTCACGTCCCTCCAGCTGTCAATGCCCAGGGGCGAGATGAGAAGCCCGAAAACAAAGTGACTTGAAACCGCAAGAGCGCCTCTGATATCAAACAAACAGCGAATCTACAGTCCCACAAACAAGAGTAAGCAATAACATATGCCTTGCTTGCCCCGTGGGCCTGGGCCAGGCTCAGCCGAACTACATCCAAGCCCCCTTCGATGCCGTGAAGAAGAACCCGACTCTGGCAGTGGCCCGAACAAAATGCCCGAGCGAAAAAAATCAGCCCTTCTCCTCCAGCAGCGCGACGACCCAGAACAGGAAGCCGAGTACACGAAAGTGAAGGTGTGGCCGAAAGACTTCAACTCTGCTTGCAATCCGCCGATCCCGATCCCCCACGTAGGGCATCAGCGTCTCGGAGGAGCCTCACACGCTTGGTGCCAGTTGCCCATCGCTCGGCATCCGACTGGGCAGGGGTAGCCGCCGCCGTCGCCGTCCCTAGCTCGTGCAATAGCGCACCCACGTCCGCGACAGCACCTCCAGCGCAAGCAACCGTGGAAGGGGGCAGCGATGAGAGGGACGAAGCCGCGCCCCTCTGCCAGGGGCACGAACCCACGCCTGCGCCGCCCCCTTGTGCCTCACGACCCGCCTGACCGCCAGGGACTTCAGCGTCAGGCCGCACTGCTGGCTCCGCAGCCGCCTCCACCGCGTCTGGGGCAGATACCCCCCGCAGGGGCCCCGCGGGAGCCACGACACCAGGATGCGCGGCGGCGCCAGTCACACGGCCAACCGGAGAATCACCGCCTCCAGGGAGACCAGCGACGGCCGGAGCAGTAGCATGAACTCCAGGAAGGCGATCATCGGCATGGCCGTCGACACCAGCAGCATGCACTGAACCTCCATCCATGACTCCGCCCCTTGGTGCTGGCGCAGGCGGCGCTGCCGACGCATCCTCGGCTCCAAGCTGCTCCTGCTAGGCGTCGGGGTCGATCGCATCGACCTCAGCCTGCGCCGCACGGCTGCGGGCCCGTGTCTGGCTAGCCGCGGGGCGTGCGCTGAACCAGAAACAGACCTCGCGCGGCCGTTGGAGAAGCGGTGGCCGCGGTCCACCACAACAGCGTGTCCAGCCTGCTCCTCGAGGGCCGACAGGGCGCTGAGAAGCACGGCCCGCGCCGTGGGCGACGTACGCGGCCGCGCTGGGTCGAGGACCACCTTGACCTTACCGCGGCCCTCGATGGCGGCGGCTCCGAAGGTGAGGTGCGCGGCGACTCCAGCGACGATCTGATCGTGCAGCCAACGGAGGCGCGCATGGACCACCATGGCCCCAGGGACCCGCAGGGGCGCTGAGGAAGTAACGGAACAAGCAAGGGCTCGAGCGAAAGGTTTCTGCAGGAGGAGGAGGAGGAGGAGGAGGAGGAGGAGGGAGAAGGAGGAGGGCCCTTCTTCTGCTGCCACTTCTCCTGCCCCGCCCGTTCGCCCCTCCCCATTCCCCGCAGATCTGGGGGGGGGAGCAAAGCCGAAAATCAAGCAGCAGAGGCCCGACCGCCTCTTTGATGAGACCCGGGGACACCGAGACAAAAAGTGCCAAACAACCGCGCGTCAAACGAGCGTGTTGCAAGCCTCAATCTGGACTGTGCCCAAAAGCTGGAGGTCCGGGAGTCCTGAAGGGAAGCGAGACAGCATCTCCCCCCATTGTCTGCTTTCGTCTCCGTTCTCCCCGCTGCCGCCCCCGTCCTCCCGCCTCTCTCGCCTCGGCTCCCTCATCTGCCCTCTCTCTTCTCTTCTTCCTGTTTCCCTCTCTCCCCGCCTTCTCCCTGCTCATCGGTTCGTCTCTGTCCTCCGTTTCTGGCCTTCTTCTGCTGTCACTCCCCCTCCTCCCCCCCTCTTCGTCCTTCCCCCCCCTCTTCCTACTTCTCCTCCTCCTCCACCTCCTCCTCCTACTCTTTCGTGAGCCCTTCGTGTCGTCCTCGCCCTGCTCGCCCTTGGGCCTCCGCTCGCGGCAACTGGCCCCAAGAGCGCTCAAGATTGGTGCCAGGACCCCTCCCGGGGTTTATGCGCATGAGTTGTCCGCGCTGTATCCGGCCGCGGCAACGATGGAAGTCCCCAAGGGCAACAAAGCCTCGAACATTGCTAGGGCCAAAAATGTAAGTGAACCAATGTTTTTTCACAACTAGTTTTCGCTTGACCCACCCGCCTGTGGGTCACTTGCGTGGTGCCTGCATCATGCGGGCAATTCATTTAATGGGACTACAGCATCTCATGTTGGTGCCCAGAGTGCAAGTGAAACGGTTGTTTTTTCCTCCAGCAGTTTTCTGGTGACCCACACCCCTGTGGGTCCCCTGCGCGGTGCCTGCCTCATGCGGGAGATGTGCCGGGTGGGATACATTACGTCATGTTCGGGCCCTGAACGCAAATCAAATAATGGGTTTTTCTCAACCAGTTATCGGGTGACCCACTCGCCTGTGAGTCACCTGCATGGTGCCGGCTTCGTGCGGGACATGCACTGAGTGGGAATCCATCACTTCATGTTTGGGCCCAGAATGCAAGTGAACTACTTAGTTTTTTCGCAACCAGTTTTCGCGTGACCCAGCCGCCTGTGAGTCATCTGCATGGTGCGTTCTGCTGCCGACCATCTCGGTGCGAACGGGGAGGTGGGCGCCTGGATAGCTGCCACTGGCGACGATCTGGCCTTGCCTTGGAAGGCACTCGAGCTTGCCATTTGGGACCGCACTAGCAGTGCGAGCAGTTGTCTGGAACCTGCTTGTTGCAGTCGGTTCTCTGCCGTATGCTTGGCATCAAGGAGGTATAGACAACACTGAGACAAGACTTGTACAGCTGCCTGTCGGGCCGGGGGGTCCAGGAAGGCAGGAATCGCTACGATAAGCCTGCCCACCGCCTGCGATCAAGCTGAAGCCGGCGGGGCGCAGTTTCAATTAGAGCCAACATGGCTACCGACTACCTTCTTCCTCCTCCTCCTCCTCCTCCTCCTCCTCCTCCTCCTCCTCCTCCTCCTCCTCCTCCTCCCCCCCCCTGTTTGTCTGCCCCCCCAGAGCAGCACTGGTCGAACGTCGTTCCGCCCTGACCACATCCTGCTTATCGAGCCTAATCCCGCCTGGTCTCGCTTACTCTTGGATCTGGCTCAATCTGGCTTCATGGCTCCTTGACCTGGTTCAGTCGCCCTTACTGTGCTCGTTCCCACGAAGGCCTCCCAGAGTTGCCTTCTAAATCCCCCTTCTCCTTATTCACCTCTTCACCGCTCGCAGGTGACTTCTCTCGCAAGGCCCGAGTTCCTCCCCAAACAAGACTGGCCGCTCACACGAAGGTGAACTCGGGGACACCCACAGGGGTCTATTCGGACGCACCCCTACCGAGGATGGGCGCCCCACGTTTGTACACACATGAGCTGGGCATTGTTTTGTTTGTACAGTCGAGGACCTCGCAAAGTTGGGGATTGAGGTCGCCATGCAGTGGGGACGCGCATTAAGAACCCATACGTTTCTCGTCAGGGTACCCTGGGTTTCTTCGCTCCGCGTGCTGCGCGGTGACTCCCCACGGCCGTTGAGGAAGCCGCTGCGTTCAGGGTGCTCCAGGTTCCCCCTCAGGTGCACTTCGCGCGCGGGTTTTCAGGGTGGAGTTGCTTGCGAGGGCTTCTTGCTGCCGCGCTCGAACCGTACTCCCCGGTATTGTCACCCTCCACCTTCACGTCTGCCCCCCCCCCCCGGACAGCTCGACGGCCTCTTCGATTCGCGCGCGCCGAGCTCGGCTGGCAGCTCGCCTCAGGCGGGCGCCGCGGGCGGCCGGGCATTGGGTCCTCCTCCTCCTTGTCCTCCTCCCTCCTCCTCCCTCCTCCTCCTCCTCCACCTCCTCCTCCTCCTCCTCCTCCTCCTCCTCCTCCTCCTCCTCCTTCCTCCTCCTCCTCCTTTTCCTCCTCCAGCTCCTCCTCCCCCTCCCCCTCCTCCTCCTCCTCCTCCTCCTCCTCCTCCTCCTCCTCCTCCTAAACGGCCCTGGGCGTTTACTAAAAGGCCCTGCCCTGTTTGATTCCTTCGATGCGTGCGTTTGCTGAGCGGCTTCGCGTGTCGGGGTGGTTCTTCTCGGGGTGGATGTTCTGCCCTCTGTTTGGGGAAGGAGGGAAAACAACACACACACAGACACAAGTAATCTTCGATTCCCCAGAAAATATTGAAACATATGGGAAGTGGGGGGGAAGACAAAAACCCAAGAGATCTGGGAAAATATTGAGAATCCTGTTATTTGTGTCTATTTGTTTGTGTGTCCGAGGGCCCCTTCAATTGGAGGAAGGAGAGAGGGGCAAGGAGAAACTGTGAGCGCCTCGTGGTCCGATGGGGCGCACGCTGAGGAAGTGCGCAGGGCACTGCCCACCCCGTGGGCTCATAGTTGAATTGCTCGTCCTGAATGTCGCCGATTCCAGACTCCGCCTCACCCTCCAGAGATCGGAGTTTGATAGACCTTTTACCTTGACACGTCGATTAGTGAATTGGCCGTTTTCGGTTCGCGAGAGGGCGTCAAGGCCGTTATTTTTGCGGTTCCAGGTCTGCCGGTTTCGGTCCTAGGCCGTTTTCATTAAAGGGTGGTTTACTAAAGGGAGGCTTATCCACCGCAGAAGAGAGTTGTCGGCGACTGCAATCAGGTATGTAGTTCAACAGCTCGGCCCGTGAGTCAGGCTATCGCAAGCATGGATTGAGGGGGCGTGGATTGGCGACGGGTCCCGCTTCCATGGGACATCGCGGATTTCCGCCGCCGAACGAGGCGGCACCGGCCGCAATCTGGGGAGGGCACCGCCCCCGATCCATGGATTTGGCGACCGTGCGCCAAAGCCATGGATCGTTGATCCATGCGTGCGCGCCACCGAGTGAGGCACCAGGAGGGCCTCGGTTGGACCCCGAGGGCCGCTCTTAGGAGGCAGTCGGCGCCTCGGCAAGCCGCAGCTCCCAAGGTGAGATTCTCGAGGCCAGGCTGCGTCCTCCCAGTTTGGTGCGGGGACCCCGGAGCCACCATGGAAGGTTGGATATCGGGAGCCTTGAGACAGGGGTCGATGCAAACGGGGGTCAGCCAGAGCACCCGATCTTGCAGGATCCTGCAGGGCCAGGGTCGCATTGACAGGGGTTTGGGTGCAGGATCCTGCAGGATCTTGCAGGATCCGTTGCATTGACCTGGGCTTGGGTGCGGGATTTACAGGATTTCGCAAGGCCTGACTGACCCGGGTCTGGATTGACCCGGGTCAGAAGATCCCCGAATAAGAACAGGTGTAACTTGAACCTCGCACTTGAGCCAAAATCCAACAGACACTTGAATCTGGAATCACTCGCATGCAGGCGTGGGTTCGCATCGCATTCGAGTGGCTCTCCGCTCCCAGGCTCATGCAGCCGCAGGGTCGCACCGCCGTGGTAGTTGTGCTCACTACGTGGTTCACATGTCATCAGACGTCGGCCCTGAGAGGAATCTGTATTCGTGCATTTTCGAGATGGAGGTCGAACGTGGGCGCCGCGCGAACTAGTTAACCCAAGCAGCATGTCCATAGGCAGTGGTGCCAGGATGAAGGCAGTACTTTCATCATGAAGCTCTGAATCCACACTACGACGATGCTGGAGATTTACAAGATCACCCAGAAGCGTCAGCCTGTCTTCGGATGCTACAAGCTGTGGAACAAGACAATCAGGATGTACCATACTGCGAAAAGTGCATCCCGATGCTTTTCCAGGTGTGCATGCGTACTCGGACGACCCGATCGAGGACCCTGATATGAAGATGTCTGATCTCGGACCTCACCGTCCCGCATTCGTACCAGGGCATGAGCGTTGGCTCCCGCAGTGGGCCATCGAGCTCAGTGCCGCTGCCCGCTTCCTGGAGCGGACGGGTACCCCCGACTGGCCGCCCAACGCCGAGCCGAGGAGTTTCATGAACGAGATGGGTGAGTCTGCGGGCGAGCCCATGTCAGATCATGGTGAGGGGAGTGACAATCCCTGGGGAAATCGATCCTGGAAGCCTTCCCATATAGGTCTCTGTCTTCGCGTGGTTGGAGCGGCCACGTGTCACGGATGACTTGGGGAGGGTCGTTGGGATAAGGGTATCATGAACGGCTACGACTGCTGTGGTTACCGCAAGTGTAAGCATGTTGAGGTGAGCTGAGGCTTCGGCTGAGCGTTCGGCCGAAAGCAAAAAAGCTGTGAGCTGTGGCTGTGATGTGTATTTCAGCCTCTCCTCCTCCTGTGCGTCTCTCTCACCTCCCCGCCCCGTGGCCGTCTCGGATCGCAGGGCCCTTGATTTGTGCGGCGCGCCATCAGCAGGTGCGCGCGAGCCCGCGGCGCGTTCTCTTTCTTTATTTCTTTCTTTCGTTTTTTCGTTATCTCTCTTTTTTTCTCTCTCTCTCTCTCTCTCAGTACGGGTCCCCTTGTTTGCACATCGTGTCTCGCTGTATTCCGTACAACTACTACAGTGCATTCCACAGAGGGTTCCCCAAACGGTGCTTTTGGTAGGCAAAGGTTTGGGGGGTTAGTGTTGCGACTTCTCGCTCTTGTACCGTACGCATTCGTGTGGTGTTTCACGTCTGGTTAGACTGTAATACCATGGCTATGGTGAACATGGGTATGGTGATTGTCTTATGGGTAGTGGTTGCCCTGCTGCCCTATGGGTCTTTCTTGCCTTGGTGCCCTATGATGCCTTGGGTGCCCCAACTGCTCGTTCTGGCTCGTTGATACCTTGGCTGTTTGAGTCCACGTGGGTGACCGTTGCTTACATTGTTGTTCACCTCCCGCTGCGATCTTCGGGGAAGTCAAGTGCCCGTTCTGGCCCTCCGTCATTGCTCCCTGAGCTCCAATGTCGCGACAACACAAAAGCGGCAACATCGCGAACAACTATGCTTATATTTGCAAGCACCGCTTTTCTGCAGCTTTCCCGGACCGTGTCGAGGGCCCAGGAGCCCGGTTTTGGGCGAAATCGTCGGGTGTGACAGGATGCGGCTCACGGATCTCACAGTTGCTGTCTTCGTCGCCCGATTTTGCCTCCGCGTTTTCCTTGTTGGGGGCGGGGGGGCACGCGTTGGCTTGGAAGGCAACATCGAAGAGGGAGACAACTCGTAAGAGGCGGAATTGTCGAGGCCAGTGTTCTTCTGGCCGAGATGGTGGCCTTGGGGTAGGAGCTGAGGGTTCGGGGGCGTCCAAAAGGAGGGTGATCTATAAGAAGGGGCGGATACCATGGCGGGGGTCATGATCACCTCACTGGATGTTTGATGGCCACCCCTTCTTATTTCAATATGTCCCCTGGTCATTCCTCGTCCGCGCACATACCTCGGGCGATGGTTTGGGAATCGCCCTCTTGGATGCCCCCCCCATGGACGCTTCGAAAAAGATTCAATGTGGACGCGCCATGAAGGGGAGGGACTCTGAGGAAAACGGGTCATGGAGTGTTTCTCCGTTTTCGGCCTTTCAGGAGCCTCCCCGGTTCCCGAGACCGTCGGTAAACGGCTCGGGATGAACGGTTGGTCTTGGGGAAGGCCCCCGAAGCCTAGGACCTGTTTCCCTCGGAACCTGTTTGCTTCATGCCGCATCAGCGGCGACGTGCATGGCTGGAGCGTTGCAGCGACCTGGGGGTGCGAGGTGCGCGTTTGACGCTGTGGGCCAAGTCGCAAGCAGGGAACGATAGTCAGCATCGTCTCATCGATCCCCATCCCCGCTGGGCCATTGTATCTCTGCCGCTCCAGACCCTCTCTCAAAGTGGGGATCGATCCCGCGCGACCCAAATGGATCATTCATCCGATATCCCCACCCACGGGGGATAAGTCGTCCAGTGGGGCCGAAGGCCATGCCAGCGGGGAGATGATCGGTTAAACGATGCTCAAAGATCTTTGCTCCCAGGGCAGAGACAAATACCTACCCAAGAGCTCCACAGGCATGCTCCACTTCCCGCGCCCCGAGGCGCCTCGCCCAAGCATCTTCTGAGGACCCATGCCGACCCGATCGATCGAGGATCTTATCTGACCCGATGCGGCCCCATGCCTTCACGGCGCTGCCCTGCATCCTGGCACGGTCGACCCGGTTCGGTGCCGACGCCGTGCGGGTGCCGCCCGATCCGACGCGCCTCCGATCCGATCCGATCGGGCCGCTCGTGCGAAGCGGGCTCGGGGCACACTTCGTGAGCGGCGGGCCTTTTCCCCCCCGATTAGGGGGCCACGCGCGAACCCTACCCCTACCCCCCACGATTTCTGAGGGGGAGGAGTAGGGTTCGCATGTGGCCCCCTACCGATGCCTCGGAAGACAAGGCGCCCTCCCCGGAGCGGAGCTCCCTCTGGAGCCTGGGGCAGCTCGGGGCCTCTCGGCTCCGGAGCGCCCCTCGCTCCTGCCAGCGTTGGCGCCAGTTGTGCTCTTCCGGATCAGCGGGACAGGACCCAGTCACTAGCAGGCGATTTCTCGCCCTCGATCCCCTCAGCTCGATGAGACAGATCGATGTTTGAGGTCGCTTATCCAGTGAACCGCCTGCTTCTGGGGACAGCCCCGCGCGGAGATCAGAGCAGCGGGGAGGATGGCACATGAACGTCACAGGTTGACCCGTTCATCCTCTCGCAGGCCTTTGTTTTTTCCGACCTGTTGCTGCCAATTCGCCGTGCAGGCGCCAGGCTTCCGTCCGTCCGTCCCATCCCCTCAGCTCCCCCCTAAACAAATATTTGCCGTTTCAAGAGAAAGGGGAACTCGGGGATACACCCTCAGGGGGGTATTCGGTATTCGCATTCACGAGGATGGACGTCACCCAATCGTATATCCCCGACTTAGGCTTCATTTGTTTGGTCCAGGTAGACCCCGACCCTTAGACCCTACAAAATCGGGGATTGGAGTCGTCGTTAGACCCCGACGCTTCCCCTTCTCCTTCTCCCCGTGGCGGTTTCGGGAGATCGCTCGGGCGCTTCCAGAGGCGCCCCAGAAGCTTCCGGAGGCCCCACGGGGGCCAGACGCACCCGGAAACCTATATAGATCCTCGATCCTCGAGGCCCTCGACCTATATAAGTCCCCTTTTTAAGGGGCAACGTCAGGGGGGGATGGGCTCAGTGTGGGAACGCGTCGGCCCCCAATCACCCATGGATCGCCGATGGGGGCCCGAGGCCCCACCCTGCCCAGGACCGTGCCATGTTGCCATCGGGGGCCCATCGCCGATCCGTCGGCGACGTGACGCCGATTCCATGTCGACGTTCTCCCCCGGTGAGCCAGTCCCCCCCCCGCCTCTCGATCGCCCTCGCCCCCCCCCCCTGGTCCCCCCGTCCCCTGCACGCCCCCTCGGCCTTTCGGCCTCGCGCCCCACCTCACGTGCAACCGCCGCTGGCCACGCACGCGTGCTGGCCGGGGCCGCGGCAGGCCCTGCCGCCCCCGAGGCTGCGCGCCCACCTGCCGGCGAGGAGTGGCTCGGGGTTCGCTCCCGCTCCCCGTCTCGATCAGGGGCAACGTCAGGGGTGGGCACATAGGATCGGGTCGCAGGCCTAGAGGTTGACACCAACACCAATATTGGCGGTGTGCACCCACCGAGGGAAGAAGACCCCGATCTCGGTGATGGTGGTAAGATTCTGGCTTCCAAGGTGGCCGAAATATTCCCACCAACACCGAAATCTAGGATCATCTTCCCTCTGTGGAGGCAACCCCCTGTGCTGGTGTTGGTGCCCATTCCCAGGCCTCCAGTCGGGGGTGGATGCGTCGACCCCCAATCGCCCATGGATCGCCGATGAGAGCCTGACAGCCCACCCCACCCCGCCCAGGAACGTGTGGAGGAGGAGGAGGAGGAGGAGGAGGAGGAGGAGGAGGAGGAGGGGAGGGGGAAGAGGAGGAGGAGGAGGAGGAGGAGGAGGAGGAGGAGGAGAGGAGGAGGAGGAGGAGGGAGAGAGGAGGAGGAGGAGGAGAGGAGGAGGAGGAGGAGGAGGGGGAGGAGGAGGAGGAGGAGGGGGAGGAGGGGGAGGGGGAGTCGCCATCGGGGGCGTTCCCCCTCGCTCGAGGCAGAGCACACTACACAACCAGTCTATGATCCTTCGGGGCCCGGCGCGGGCCCCTTGGATCGGCGCTGGGCCCCGCCTTCCCCATCTCGAGGCAGCAAAGTGCATGATGATGAGCTTTCGGAGGCTCGCGCGGATCTCTTGGATCGGCGCTGGACCACCCACCCTTGCGCTGGATCCAGCGCCGATCCAAGGAATGTGCGCGGACCTTCGAAAGCCTATGTTTATGCCGTTGCCGCTTCTCCACTGCCCTCGCACCCTGGTGCGCTGACCGGCAGTCCCTGGTGCGCTGAGTCGACAGTCCCGAAAGCCCGCCCCTCCCCTGCCCCCGGCAGGCGGGCCAGAGCAGCCCCTCCTTCGAGTCCGTCAACCTCCGCAACCTCCACCCGCACCCGTCCGCGCACCGCGGGTCTCTGAAGCTGAGCGCCCCTGCCCAGCACCAGCTGGGCATCGACCCCATCTACTTCAATGTCCGCGGCGGCCTCAACACGCGGAGAAGGGGAGGTGTAGCTGGACGCTTCGTCGTTGAATTCCCATTACTCATCTCTAAAGAATGACTATTGTTGATCTCCCCTCGGGTGCTCATTTTGTTTTTCATTTGAAGTGCCCCTCCCAGGGCTCGCACTTGGTCGTCTTTTACAAGAGAAGGTCTTGAGGCTTACACTGTATTGTTGCCCCCCTGTTTGTTACAGCAGCGTCTCCCGCCTGATAAATCCTTACACATGTATTCTGAATCGCGCTCTCGCTCGGGACGTCCTCAGAATTGATCCAGGAACAATTGCGCTCTCGCGTGGGACTTCCTCGCAGTTCATTCCGACGCCGCGCCCTCGACACCCAGGAATCACGCTCTCGCTCTGGACATCCTCACGATTTTTTTGGAAACCGCGGTTTCGCTCCAGACATTCTCTCGGAGGTTGATCGACCTCCTTCCCTGACACGTCGATTAGCGAAGTGGCCGTTTTCGGTTCGCGAGGCGGCGTCGCGGCCGTCATTTTTGCGGGTCCAGGTCCGCTGGTTTCGGTCCCTTACCCCGTGCGAAAAGCAACTGGTGTTTGGTGAGCCCCCTGGCCCCCCATTTCAATGGTGATCGCGGGACCGGCGAAGTTCGAAAAACAAATCGGCACCGCATTGAACATTGAAATTGGGGGGGTGGGGTGGGGGGAGGTGTGTAGAAAAACACCAGTTGCTTTCTGCACGGGGGTAGGCCGTTTCCACTAAAGGGTGGTTTAGGTAGGTTTGTCCACCGCCGATCCTCGCGATTCCTGCAGGACTGACGCTTCAGCGACCTGCGCGCTCGAACCCGGCCGTCCGGGCCCGCCCGACCCGCTGGCCCGACCCGCCCGCGAGGTTCTGACGTTTGTTGCTCTGCTCCTATCCTTAAGTCGGGCACGTCCCTCTACAGGAGGAATATTCAAACATTGTCCAACAACAGTCTGGGGACGATTTTTCGACTATTTGACCATTCTAGAATATGGTTGCATGTCTATCTGTTCGTCTAAGATCCGCCTGTAGGGGAACACGCCCGACCTAACCCCCTCCTGCTAATCTCTCTCGTGCTCCATCCTTTTCCCTCCCCCTTGTCCCTTCCCTTCTCTTCCCTTCCCCTGTTTCAGGGCCCATTCCAACTACACGTGGCAGGTAAGGAAGGTATGCCCCAAAGGGGGATACGATCAAAGACGATGTGGGCAGATATCGAGGGTTTGGAATGCACATGGCGAATGGCACGCGAGCAGATCTGGGCGAACAGTGTTCACATGATGGTTGTTATTGTTGCCTCTGGATGCGGCGGGAGGCGTCCAGAGGTTCCAGAGACCTTCGAGCAAGATGGAGGGGATGAGGCGGATGGGGGTTGGGGGAGGGGGAGGGGGCAAGCTAGGTGCGCTCGCGCGCGTCATATCTGACGTCCTACCCCTCCCTCCCATCCCGTACCATGGCGTAGATATATTCTCTATTCGCACAGTCGGCTGTCGAGCAGGGCAGTCAGTGATCGCGAGAGGTTACGCGATGCATTATAGAGCACGGCCTGGCACGGCGTAGAAGAGCACGGCAGAGCGTAGCATGCCATAGTATGTCGTGGCATTGCGCAGTGAAGCATTGCATCACAAAGCATTGCAACGAAAAGCGTGGCAGCGCACAGCGGCGCATAACACAACACCGCACAGCATGTCATGGCATGGCGCCGGGTTCTTCGGAGGGTAAGTTGATCGTCTTCGAGAAGGCTGGTCAGGTCTGGAGTCGCGGCTCCATTTTTAGATCCTTGGGCTCCCCGAAAAGCTCCACGCAAAGCGGTGCTGATGGAGAGCACCCGCTGGCTCTGCTTTCAACATCGCCTTCGGGCTCCCGCTTGATACTTCCTGAAAACGACGGCGCCCCAAAGTGTGTGGGGGGCTTCTACGGCCCCCAAATCAACGAACTGACACCGAATGTGGAATCATTTACGATGGTTTTTTTTCGGGGGGGCATTTTCTAGATTTCGGTGCCTATTCGGACGGACCGAAGATGCCCGCGCTGCAGCGGGAGCACGATTTGGAACAACCAGAGGCGCAGAAATGGAGCCAGCGCTTCAGCGGGAGCAACATTTTGAAACAAACCCAGCGAAAACCGAGTTCCCGGGAATCCTGTGTGTAAAAAAAGCAGTACGCGGAGGGGGGGCCGAACATCTTCCAGACGTCATCAGGGGAGAGAGGAGAGCAGTATTTACATTGTGTGACTGTGGAGGGGAAGAAGGGGGAGGATGAGGAGGAGGATCCAGAGGAGATTCAGAATAGACCGGGATGCGCGGTGCTGCGACGCAGCCTCCCCACATCCCCTCTTCATCGCTCCCTTGAGAGACGTGCGCCCTACGGGCCAACCGTTCAGGCGAGAGCCACGCTGTGGAAGGGACTCGACCTCCACCCTTCCAGCCACAGTACAGACCAACAGGCAGGAGCAGAAAGGTCAACGGGGTTTCCAGCGGGCGCGTTGTTGGGGGACATATAGCGTCATCAATCCGCGCATACGTGGCACAGTTGTACACGTCTGGCCGTCCTGCGGCTCTCCCGGGCCGTTGCTAAGGTTTCTGGAGCCTTCGTGGATCGCCTGGAAGCCGTCGTGGAGCCTTCGTGGAAGCCTCTTGGACTGCGGAGGGTCGATCTTGGAGGCTTCTTGGACCGTTGTGGGCCGCGTGGAAGCCGAAAAGGCGAATGTGCTAAAGATGTACGTTTCATACACTGAAGGGTGCGCACAACACTGAATGAGGGGACCTCTGTAAATCTATCCTGGGGGGGTGAGCGGAGGAGGTCACAGACAACAGACAGCGCCAGGGGGAGGGGCCGACAGACGGTGCCACAGACAACGCCAGCAGGGGGGTGCAGACAACGCCACGGACGGCGCCAGGGGCGGTACAGGGTGCCAGGGGGGTGCAGACAGTGCTTCAGACAACGCCAGGGGGGTCGGAGTGCCATTTCACGACTCCCCTGGGAGGTTTCAAAACTGCGTCCGAGATGTCGGCACTTCTGTGTAGTCTGTGCGTCGTTTTTAGAATCGCGGTTCGGCCCACATGCGCCCGGGGTCGGTTTGTCCGCGATTCTTTGCGCCCGATTTCGCCCGACGCCCGACTTGCGCGATTACCCTCGTTCCGACCGATTTGCGCCTGTTCCTTATCCTCCTACTCCTGTGGTTCCTCCTCCTCCTCCTCCGCCTTCTCCGCCGCCTCCGCTGCCAGCAGTCGCTTCGAGCTGTCTTCCTCTTCCTCGACCCCTCCCCTTCACTCGTCGCTCCTCCTGCAGCTGTCCTTCTCGGGCTTGCTGTCGTCGTCGTCTTCGTCGTCGTCTGTCGTCTCTCGTCTCCGCATTTGGTCTCCCTTTTCTCTTCGTCGTTAGGCTGGTTGTTCTCGTCGTCTCCCAGTCTGGTTGTCCTCTCCTTGGACATTGCCTGGATCCCCCCGGGGGGCGTTGTCTCGGACCCCAATCAGCGCCCAGACAGTGCCTAGACAGTGCCCAGACAGTGCCGAGACAGCGCTCAGACAGTGCCCAGACAGAGCCGGGGGGGAGTCACAGACATTGCCCAGACGACGCCGGGGGTGTCTAAGACAGTGCCCAGACAGCGCTGGTGGGGTGAGTTCACAGACAGTGCCCAGACAGCGCCGGGGGGGGGCCGCAGATAGCGCCCAGACAACGGTCGGGGGGGTCACAGACAGTGCCCGCACAGCGCCGGGGAGGGGGGTCACATGCAACGCACGGGGGGTCCCAGACAATGCGCGAGGGGGTCTCAGACACTGCACGAATAGGGTCCCAGACACCCGAGGGGTGTCCCAGACAATGCCCGATGGAGGGTCCCAGACAATGCCCGGGGACGTCCCAGACGATGCTCGGTGGGGGCCCCAGACAGTGCCCTAGGGGGGCCTCAGGCAATGCCCGAGGAGGGTCAAAGACAATGCCCGAGGGAGGTCACAGACAATGCTGGCGGGGTCCGGACGATGCCCGACGGGGGTTTTGGCTTCCCCTCCTCCGTTCCGCCTCCCAGAGGTCGCCGAAGGCAGGGTGCACATTCCCCAGCTAGCACTTTGGGGGCACAGCCTGACCTATCGTCATCACCGGTTCCAGCACACCCCTCACAGGCTTCGTGGCCCCATAGGAAGCTCCACCGAAGGCCCAGATGCCAGCGTTCGCATGCGCCCGCCGCACCCATTTTTGCCCGCCCCTCACACGTTGCGTGGAAGCCCCACCGAAGGCCCAAATGCCAGCGTTCGCATGCGCCCACCGCGCCCATTTTGGCACACCCCTGGAACGTTTCGTGGCCCCATAAGGAGCCCCACCGCAGGCGCAAATGCCAGCGTTCGCATGCGCCCACCGCACCCATTTTGACACACCCCTCACACGTTTCAGTGACCCCACAGGGAGCCCCACCGAAGGCCCAAATGCCAACGTTCGCATGCGCCCACCGCACCCATTTGGGCACACCCCTCACACTTTTTCGTGGCTCTATAAGGAGCCCCACCGAAGGCCCAAACGCCAGCGTTCGCATGCGCCCCCCGCACACATTTTGACACACCCCTCACACGTTTCAGTGACCCCATAGGGAGCCCCACCGAAGGCCCAAATGCCAGCGTTCGCATGCGCCCACCGCTCACACGCTGCGTGGCCCCATAGGGAGCCCCACCGCAGTCGCAAGTGCCAGCGTTCGCATGCGCCCACCGCGCCCTTTTTGGCACGCCCCTCACACGTTTCGCGGCCCCATAAAGAGCTCCTCCGAATGCGGTGCATACGACGACGGTGCTCACAACTGCATATGGTTGGTCCCTCGCCAGGCTAACTTTCCGAGCCCTGGATTGGCCGGGCTCGACACATGACGCAGAACGATGAGGTCAAGCAATCGACTTGTAAAATCTCGCGGTGCCTCTGTTGTCCCCCAGGCGTGCCCCCCCCCCCGCCATTGTCTGTGACCCCCCCTTCGGCTGTCCGTGTCCCCTCTTCGCCCCCCCCCCCTGGCCCCCGCATTTGTGCTCAAGTGCCCGAAGCGGCACTTTCAGACTGGTGCTCCTTCCGTGCGCCCCCCCGAGGTCACAACACGCTCTCACGACCCTGAAATAAATGAGGACCGCTTGGGACTCGCGAGGGGGCCCGGTCTTCGGGCCGCTCCCGGGGCCCTTCGGTCCAGGCCGGGGAACCTTATAGAGGCTGTTTTTTTAGGGTCCGGCCATCACCCGGGTTCTCGGGCGTGCCCCCCCTCGAGGGGGGGCAAGCCCGGGGGGGGGGATCCCCCCCCCCCCCCAGGATAACCGAACCTTGCCGGTTGTGCAGGTCCAGGGTGGGGGCGGGCGCGGGCACATGCAGGGCTGCCCACGGCGCGAAGGTCAGGTTGTCGGCTGGCTCCCTCCTCCTCCCCCTGTCCCCCCCCCCCGGGATAACCCGGGGCTATCGTCGCCGGTTCCACGAGAAACGGTCCCCCGTCCGTGGCCGGGGCTCGCCGCGGCCGGGGGCGCCCTGTCGTTCCCGATGCGGCATACATTCCGGTCGGGTGGCACGGCGGAGTGTCACGGCTGCAGTCGTCTCGAGCGCGAGCGGCGTTCCGAAAGCTCACCAGCCTCGAACTTATCCCTATCCCTCAGATTGACACGCCAAAAGGAGATGTCAATCTGAGGGATACACCCTCAGAAACTGAGGACATCCCTGAGATCGCCATCGTGATGAGGCGATGCCCAACATAGGGATAGGGATGTGTTCCAGGCTGGTAAAGAGCGGTGCCCGCCCTCCAGCAGTGCAGCCCAGAAGGGGCAGCGGACGGCGGCGGGCGAGGGCGGCAGGTCGAGCACCAGTGCGCCTTCCACGCGAAGAAGCACGTCTTCCACGACGACCACAGGCCGCGGACGCCGCCGAAGAGCCTGAAGTGGCGGTCCCAGGAGAGGGGCAAGTGGAGAGAGGCGGGGGGGTCGGGGATGGACAGACCTCCTACCCTGACACGTCGATTAAGGAATTGGCCGTTTTCGGTTCGCGAGAGGGCGTCGCGGCCGTCATTTTTGCGGGTCCAGGTCCGTCGGTTTCGGTCCCAGGTCCTTTTCACTAAGGGGAGGTCTACTAAAGGGAGGTTTGTCCACCGCCGAGGGGGACTTAGAGTTCAGGGGGGGAAGATGGCAATACCGCTGCTCGTCCTGGAGAGCCCTCGTCTCCGCGGCCAGGTTCTCTCTTCGGAAAATCCGGGCAGGATATGCCCCAGCAGATGTCTGGGATTTGCCCCGTTCGTCTCGGCCCAGCGTTCTTGTTGGCAGCATCTTGTGCAAGCTGGCTCACTCACTTCCTTCCGCCCCCTGCGCACGCTCGGGGCCAAGCGTGCGGGGCTGGCCCGGCGTTTGCGCAGCCCTCTGCCTGAGGGCTGCTCCAGCTCTCTGAGGCGAGCAGCTTTGTGAGGAGGGAGGAGGTTGGTTCCCGAGCGCCTGGACGACGACGTCCGGCGGCACTCTTGAAGGACGGCGGCCCCAGCCTCAGCTGGCCCGCCGAGCACGCGCCCCAGAAAGAGTGCGCCTGCCAGCGGCGACTGAAGAGGCAGAGCCCGGCACCGCCTGGGAGGCGAGTCCCAACATCGGCGCCCCGTGCCTCCGAACTTGCAAGCTGGTCTTGTCTGTTGCGTCAGCCCAAGGGCCGGGGAAGCGTGAGACTCGAGTAAGCCGGCACTCGGGTTTGCCAATTTTTTTTGTTGGCGAGCGCGTCCTGGATTTTGACGGTCCGGTGTTCGTGGGTATCTCCAGCGGGAGTTCGCATCGAATTTCAGATCGGGGCCTCGTCATTTCCGTGATGGCCCTGTCAGGCCAACCCGAGTCCCCCAAACCCGAGTCTTATGTTAAGTCGGGCGTGTCCCTCTACAGGGGGAGTGTTCAAAAATAGTCAAACATTACCCCAGTGCGACCCTACCTAGAAGTTGGAGCCCCTAGGAAAGCAGCATTAGTTGCTATGTTATGCTATGCTATGCTATGCTATGTTATGCTGCGCTATGCTAGTATATGCTATTCGATGCTAATGTATGATATGTCATGCTGCGCTGTTGTATGCGAAGCTATGATATGATATGCTAAGCTGCGCTATGCTATGATATGCGATGCGATGATATGTTATGATATGTTATGCTGCGCCATACTATACTATGATATGGCATGCTATGCTATGATTGGCTATGTTATGCTATGCTATGCTAATGCAGCGCTGCGCTATGCTAAACTAAGCTAAGCTAAACTAAGCTAACCCTCTAGGCAGAGCCTAGGTAGGGAATTACACCCATGCTAATGCTCTGCTATGTTATGCTATGCTGCGCTGTGCTATGCTGTGCTGTGATGTGCTGCGCTATGATATGCTATGCTACGCTACGCTATGCTATGCTATGCTATGCTGCGCTATGCTATGCTATACTTGGCTATGTTATGATAGGCTGTGCTGCGCTATGCTATGCTACGCTATGCTATGCTATGCTGTGCTCTGCTACTCGAAAGCTCAGCGACGCTAAGATGAAGATAAGCTAAGCTAAGATCAACCTGAGCTGAGATGAAGCTAAGCTAAACTAAGATGGAATCAGCTAAACTAAGATGAGATAAGCGACGCTAAGCTAAGGGGACGTAACTGGGGGAACCGCGGGGCGGATACTGGGGGAACCGCCCGGGGCGGTGTGCACTGCCCAGCCCCTTTAAGAAAGAGAGTAAGAACCCTTCTAGGCAAAGCCTAGGTAGGGAAATAGTCTGGGGACCATTCTTTGACTATTTTTCAGCACTTTTCGAATATGTTGGGGGTATTCTTAATTCTTCGTCCAAAATCCCTCTGTAGGGGGACAGGCCCGACCTAAGCCTTACGTCTCTCCGACTGTTGCGTCAGCCCAAGGAGCACTGGGACAGCGCCGCGCTGCAGTCCCCGCTGAAGGTCGGCCACGTCGCGCCCTCGCCCAAG